ATCCCAGCTCCTAGAGGGGTGTGTGTGATCACATCTCCCGGTCATCCCTCTAGATAGGCTTTTTCTATTTTTATTTTTATTTTTTTGTTAGTAACTCTTTCCCCTTTGGGCCTACAATCTTATTCGGGGTGAGGACACTCTTCCCACAAAGAGGTGGGGAAGGCAGTCTGTAGCCTCCTTTGACTAAGAAAGTTCCAGTGAAGGCATACAGCTTGAGTAGTGGGAATGATTGGGAATTTGGGAGGGGAGGAAGAGAAAGGGGTCTGGGAAGCCAGTGAGAGGCATGGTCTCTTGGAAATATTTAAACATCTAGCCATTAAATGACATGCAAATAAGATATCAATAGCATTTATATTTATATTCAATTTGAATCTCTTTGGCGTACAACCCTTAACTGTGTGGAGCGGGGTATGTTGTAACTGGGAAAGTGCTTTAGTGGGGTGGGGGGTGCAATGCATTGCACAGCAGTCACCCCTTGTCCCTACACATTGTTCTTTTCTTTTTCGGCCCCCCACCCCCATCCTAGTCAAACCTAGGCTGGTACAGCCAGCCTCCTGTCGCAGACAGGGAAGCTCCCCCTGCAGCACCCCCTCCCCAAATTACCTAGCTAGGATAGTATTGGGGGGTTCCTGAGTTTCTGTTTTGCATTTGGCTAAGGTCACGTGCTACTCATGTCCTGTTGGTCATGACAGAGGACCTGCCACACTCCCCCCGCCCACCTCCAGATCCTATTCTCAGAGATCTGCCTGGGCATACAGTAGGGGACTGCAGAGAGGGACTGGGCATGCTCTGCAGGCCTATAGCCCCCACTCACCTCCAGGATTAGCTCTTCCATCTCGAATTGTCTTTGTGAGGCCTTGTCATCCTCAGGGGGCTCATGGTAGAGGAGTGCCAGCACCTCATACTTCTTGAACACATTCTTGTAGTTCTTTGCGTTGACATTGATCACACGGTCCACACCATCATACTCAGGGAAGTCCAGGCCTTCCTCCCCCTGTACCCCTGACTTGGGTGTCCCTAGCACCAGCAGTAAGAGCAGTACCAGCCGCAAACTGGGCACAACTCTGGCCCCCATCCTGTCTGTAGTGCTCATGGAGGTAGTGAGATCTCCGTCGGCTCTCCTGGTCCAGAAGAGCTTAGCTGGGAGGGAGGGGCCCCTGGGTCCGAAATCCTGAGTTAGGGGCTCAAGGTGGGGGTGGGGTATGGAATGGCCCAGAGCAGTAGACAGAGGACACTGCTGGGTCTTGGAGAAACTGCCAACGGAGCCAAGAGAAAAAGGGTCAGGAGGAGGAATAGGAGCAGGGGGCGGGGATGGAACCAGAGCTGCCCCCTAAAATTGGCATCCCTCAGTCCCCACCTGGTCCTGTCTAAATATGTCTCTGTGGTTGGCAGGGGAGATGGATAACCTTCTGAGGCCAGGACAGTTCCATGAGGGCTGGAATCCTCCCACCTCCTACGCCTCTCCCCCAGGCTCCAGTGGCTCCTTCCCTCCCCTCCCCCAGTGTCCAGGGCTCCTCAGCCCCTGGCCCCATGCTGGACTAAGAACTCATCTCCATATTAAGAAAGGAAAAGGGAGAGACGCTGAAGCTAAAAATAAGACCAGATGAGTCGGAGGTAAATGAAGCTGGGGCTGGGGGAGGGGAGGTGTAGGGGTAACTAGGGAGAGCTGAGGGCAGGGCAAGAGTAATGAGAGAGGAGTTAAATTAGGTGGTATCTGGATCAGGGGCTAAATTGGTGATCTAGGACAAAAGGGGGACAAAAGTGGTATTGACATGACATCTTAAAACCTGGGAATCTTCGGTAGGTTAAGTGTTTCTTTGATCCTATGGAGGAAAGAGAGGCAGTAAAATTGCAATCCAGGCTACAGGGAAGAGACTCTCTGCACTTCCCTTTAAAGAGCTAGGACCAAAGATGAGGTCATTCTCTGAATAAAAGATGGAGCCGTGTCCAAGACTGGCAACCTGGCCCAGCTCCAGCCAGTTTCCTTGGCTTCACTCAACACTCCTAACTCAGGATTGCAGGGGAAGCGCAGGGTTGGCCCACATATCGTCCTGTGGAGATATGAATGTGGGGTTTCTCTGCCCATAAGGCCCATCATGAGAAGGGAAATGTCATTTGGCTGCCACCTTATGTGTGCACTCCTCCTTCTGATCCTATAGGACTTGGTTTTCTAGGGCATAGTGGGAAGGAAAGATTCTCCCAGGTTGCATGATTCCAAGGAAAGTGAATAACTACTATTTATTCCTATGTCTTTGACAAGACAAGGAAGATCAGATATAAATACTGGGGGGGGAGGGGATTAACACTAGGAAAACATAAAGAGGTCAGCCCTGCACCCTGAACCTAGGTTGTTGATTAATTCTGTGCATCTGCGACCCAAAGCAGAGTTGAAGGATAGGGGCTTTAACTTCTGGATCCCACCTTGGAGGTGAGGACAGAGTGCGTGAATTCAGCTCTGGATGCCTAGGAAGGAAGGACTCTATAGTCCCATAGAGCTCTCACCATGCAGAGGTAAATGGGGCACGAGGGAGACTATGCTCTCCATGTTCAAATCTGATGCCCCCACCCCACCCTGAGTTATGTGATTCCGGAAGAACAGTATTTATTGTAGGAGCATTGAATTATGTTAGCAGAATAACTTTCCACCCAGGGGAGGGACCTTAAACAGCTAAGCAAGGAGGCCGCAAAAACGTCAAGAACGCTGCAGGAGTTGGTCCAAGAGAGACAGCTGTCACTGTGGCCGGGGAGGCCAGAGCTGGCCTAAGTGTAGCATATTAGGTAGAAGAGACCTCAGAATCCTATTTCCAGGTCTCTCAGAAGAGCGATGTGCCCAGAGACATACAGCCAGAGCAAAGACATCTGGGAGAGATGGGCAGGCCCACCCAGACGGAGATGACATAGATGACTTCCAGTTTTGTGCTTCTGCTGTATTCTGGTGGGGTGTGCATTTGCACAGAGACAATGGAATATTAGACCTGTAATATCATGAATCTGACATTTCGTACCCCCAAAGGTATGAGATGGGGCTCCTTGATAGCCTGGGTTTGCTCCATCTCCTGGTGCTCTCCTATAGCTACTAGACTTTCTTATCCATCCTGCTCCCTCTCATTGCCCTCTTGGGCTCCAGTTCTACCCTTACCCTTTGTAGCCTTCACCCCCCACTTCTCTGTCTGATGCTTGCTCTCTACTTTCTCCCCATTCCCCTTCCCTTCAGGCCCTTGGGCTTAACAAGCCTCAGCCAATGGTATCAAATGACCCTGAGTTGGGGCCTCTGTATTTTTAACCCACCAGCCACCCGAAGCTAGAGCTACTGAAACCTGAGGAGCTGACCCCTTGGTGCACCCCCTTCCCCCCCACTCTGTATACCCTTGGCCCCCTCAATCTTTCAGGGTCTGGTTCAGCTGCGTCAGCAGCTGTGGAAGGACCCCAGACTGGTACAGCCTCGTCCCTAGGAGACCTTGTGTTGGAGGAGGGAGAGGACCAGGAGGGTGAGCGACCTCTAAGGAGGGGCTGATAGAGGGGAGAGTAGATGGCTATACCTTAGGTGACCTCCTCCTTGCTGGCCACCGCCCTTCCTCCTCCATCCTTATCCTATTTTTCATTTTGTTTATCTATTATTGGCCCAGCCCTCATCAAAACACTACCGTAAAAAATAGTTAAGGGCACAAGTTCTAGAATCAGAAAGATCCTGGTTTCCCCACCTATAAAAGGGGGTGGGGTGTTAGGGAAATATCTGTGTGAACTGATGGTGTGTGTAAACCCCTTGTCCAGTGTTAGGCGTGGTGTTCAGTCACTTAATATACGTGAGATTTGCTTTTGCTAACAGCTGGAGATTTGCTCACAGCTTTCCTTAGCATCTCTCTCTCACCCCCTTCCTCCTTTTGAGTGTAGCCAACCCTCTACTCTAAAAGAGGTCTGAGAATGAGCTGGCCAAGGGCAAAGTGGAAGGGTTTACAAAGCAAAGGCAAGCGAGTGGGGGAAGGGGGCGGAAGAACCGCCAAGATGAAGGTGGTAGGAGAGAAAGGCTCCTGTGACTTCTCATCCCAGAAGGGATGTGGGAGGCCCAGCTTTAAGGAGTGTCCATCACCCTGTGATGGGTGGGGTAGAGCAGGGCGGGTGCTTTGCCTGAAGGGAGGCCTGCAGTGCCTCAGAGAGTGTTTGTGCCTCTACTTCAGGCGACGCCAGAGAAAACAAGCTGGGGGATGGGATGGGGTCAAGGTGCCCTGACAACAGAGGGTGAGGGGCAGGGGCCACCAGTCTGGCTGGAGTTCTGCCTCCTGTCCAGACCTTCCTCAGCTGAAAAGGGCCACTCACTAGTGGCCATTCCCAGTCACTTGCCCTCTCTGGACCTCAGGCTCTTAAACAAAACTGGGTTTCTTCTGGCATCACACATGGTCTGCAGGCTGGTCTGGGGACCCCAGTGAGGGATAAGAGGATCTGCCCTGCCAGCCCCCTGTGTGGAAGCCCCTGTTCCCTCTACAGCCTGTGGCTCAGATGCTCCTCTCATCCCCCTTCCTTCTCTCTGATCCCAGATGGACTTTGTAGTCATTTGTCCTGTCCTTGCTGTCCAGGGGATTAGAGTGACTTTAAGATGAAGGATGGATGCCTGATTTAGATTGCTTCCCAGCCTGGACAGTCCCTGAACGACTTCCTCCACCTGGTCATCATTGAGACCTGGCAGGAGCTTCACAGGGAGCCCTGCTACCCCCAAATCAGCATCCAGCCAGGTGAGAGCTATTCGAGACATTTACTCTCTGGACTGGCTGCTGTATTCAACAGGACTATGCCCCTCCCCTCGGGTCCAGCCAGACATAGGCTGGGTGTCCCCTCAACCCACCCCACATTCTGCCTGTAATTCCCTCAGTCCAGCCCCAGGAGGGTCTGTCTCTCTAATCCAAGGTAATTCATCTTAGCGTCTCTCTCAGATGTCACGTCAAACTCATAACCCTGACCCTTCTACTGATGCCCTCATCTCACATGAAGCTCTTCCTCTGCCGAGTTTAGTAGTACGTCTCCCTCTCCAGCCAGCCTGTGGAAGAAAAGAGGCCAGTGTGGACTGACAGCAGGCACAGGGGAGGCATCCTGGGGAGACAGGTGAGGCCTGAGGTCTGGACACACGGCACAGAGGCCTGGTCGGAATAGGGCCGAGCAGCCGAAGAGTAGGGGGCTGGGGTCCTGGCACGGCACACACCTGGTGGTGAGGTGGGGAGGAAGCCAGGGGTCTAAAGGAACTAGACAGGATGGGAGAGCTAGTTAGGGGGGACTGGTGACCACTCAGAGCAGGGCCCAGGGGAGCCTCACCACCAGGCCATCGGCGAATGAAGTATCTTCTGGTTTCATCATAGGCAAAGATAAGAAAGCTGTAGGGAATGGCACAGACCCACCACATTAGCCTGCAGAGAGCAAGAGTCAGTCAATGCGGCAGGAGATACAGGGCCCAGAGAAAGACAAGTATCCTGTGTGTGCCTGGGACTGTGCTGAGTGCTGGAGACAGGGAGGTGATTAAGGTTTGATTGGTCTCTACATTTATGAAGAACAGAACCTGGGCGGGTGGGGTGTGTGTGTGTGTGTGTGTGTTTGTGTGTAAGAAGGGTGCAGAGGAAAAGCCAAGACATAAACATAAGCAGCCAATGAGGTAATATGACAAATGTCATATTAAAGGTATGTGCAGTGTGCATGGAGCTCGTCTACTGACTCCTGCAGAAGTGCTGAGGGAGACCTCATTTGCTCTCTGCATTCTCTAGGCTTTGCACCCTCAGATGGGAGGTTGTCTGAACAGGATGTCTGTCAGAAACATTCTCTGGACCTCTCATGTGGGGATACTCCACCAGAGAATATGTAGACTCTTCCATATTACAAAGATGGGCACAGTTTTTTGATTTTTTCTTTTTGAGACAGTATCTCAAGCTGTCACCCTGGGTAGAGTGCCGTGGCGTCACAGCTCACAGCAACCTCAAACTCTTGGGTTTAAGCAATTCTCTTGCCTCAGCCTCCCAAGTAGCTGGGACTAGAGGTACCTGCCACAACACCTGGCTATTTTGTTGTTGTTGTTGTTGCAGTTGTCATTGCTGTTTAGCTGGCCCAGGCCGGGATTGAACCCACCAGCTTGGGTGTACGTGGCCAGCACCCTACCTACTGAGCTATAATGCCGCCGGGCACAGGTTTTTCTTCTGGAACCTCTCTTATAATAGGGACCAGGAAGATGGACTTTGGAAAGAGGTTGAATCAGGACCACAGTTATTCGCATGGATGACAGAGTCAAGAGATGGCCTAGATCAACATTGTCTAATAGAAATAGAGGGGCTGACTCGAAGCCTGTAGCTCAGCAGCTAGGGTGCCAACCACATACACCAGAGCCTGAGGTTTGATTTCAGCCCAGGCCAAACAACTAACAACTACAACCAAAAAATAGCCAGGCATTGTGGTGGGTGCCTGTAACCCCAACTGCTTGGAAGGCTGAGGCAAGAAAATTGCTTAAGCCCAAGCGTTTGAGGTTGCTGTGAGCTGTGACACCATGGCACTTTACCCAGGGTGACAGCTTGTGATTGTCTCAAAAAAAAAAATATATATATATAAAATAAAAAATAAAGGGGCCGTCTGGAAGATTTATAGCCATTGTTAATATAACTAGATACTTTCCAGACAGCCCCCCTTGTGTAATGTGAGCCACATGTGAAATTGAACATTTTTCTCTTTTAATTTTTTTTTAGAGATTAGTCTCACTCTGTCTTTCAGGCTAGTGTACAGTAGCATAATCATGGCTCATTGTAGCCTCCAACTCCTGGGCTCAAGCGATCGTCTCTCCTATCTCAGCCTGCCAAGTAGCTTGGACTACAGTACACACAACCACACCCAGCTAACTTTTTAAAAAGTTTTTGTAGAGACAGAGTCTCCCCATGTTGCCGAGGCTGGTCTTGAACTCCTAGGCTAAGCCATCCTTCTGCCTCAGCCTTCCAAAATTCTGGGTGAGCCACTGTATCTGATAGCATAAACATTATTCATGAGATATTTTACAATCTTCTTTTCATCCTAAGTCTTGGAAATCTAGTGAGTATTTTTCACTGACAGCACATCTCCAACCCAGACACTAATTTTTCAGTGGTTACCAGGGAAATGTAGTCTAACCCAAACTATGAACTTGTAATAATAGAAAAATATTTCACAGTGCTTTAGTTAACTTAAATTAATTAAAATTAAATAAAGTTACACATTCGGTTCCTCAATCACTCTAGCCATATCCCAAGAGCTCAACAGTCACATACAGATATTGGACAGCACAGGCCTAACCATGGTTCATTCTGTACATGCACATACACCCCAAACAACATTCATATACCCCAAGGGCTGGCTCATTCACTCAACAACAATCTTTGTACATCTGCTCTGTGTCTGCATTGGGTATTTGGGAAATGAAAATGATGACCTGTCACTTGAGGAAAGGAGTTTGAGACTAGCCTGGGAAACACAGCAAGACCCCTTGTCTATAAAAATAAGAAAAATGAGCTAGTCATGTGATGTATGCCTGTAGTCTCAGCTACTCAGGAGGCTGAGGCAAGAGGATCCCTTTAGCCCAAGAGTTAAAGGCTACAGTGAACTATGATTGTATTCCTGCATTCCAGACTGGGTGACAGTGAGATTTTGACTGTAAAAAAAAAAAAAAACAACTTAATTTGGAAGGCCACTCAGTTTTTTGTACCCCAGCAGTAACAGATTACAAAACAATGTTATTAAACCTTTTTGCCCCAATAATTAATCTAAACCTTATACCTAGTACAATATCTGGCTCAAATAAACCAATCAACTTACATTCCCTGATTAGTTTGATTTTATCATTTCACAGTTGTATCTATATAAAAAAATCACATTGTAAAAAAAAAGAAAGAAAGAAAATGATGACCTCATGGTCTTTGATCTCCAGGAGTTCAGAAGAATCAGAGAGAAGTAGGTGAATGCACATGCAAAGAATCACAACACGAGGTGCTCAGTTTTATGGGCAAGGTTTACACAGAGTGCTTGAGCGCTCAGACAATGCTCACCTGCATTTGTTATTACTTTTATAATGACATGTATGCCCACAAGAATTATAGCAAAGCATTCAGCCTGCTTGGAGCTTTATACGCATTTCTATACATAATCTTCACAACTCTGTGCCAGGTCCATACCCAGAATGTTATTATTGAGATTGCAGGCGAAGCTGAGGGTCAGCATGGTTACAAACATGTCCCAGGTTGCAGAGTATTACACAGTAGTGTTGAGATGCAGGCATGGGATTGTCAGTATCTGAGACCTGTGCCAGTGTTTCCTATTAAACACTCAGCACCCACACGGGGTAGAGCACATGTACAAGACTACAAGGGATGGAAGGGCGGACAGAGTGTGTAAAATGCAGAGAAAGTGAGTTGGCAGAGGCTACCTACTCAGGGTGGGGCAGTGGGGATGTGGGTGGGATGGGGCTTTTGCTTTTTTCTCTCTTTATTTTTTAAATAGGATTTTTCCACAACAAGCATATCCTAATGTTAAAGCCAAGCAAAACAAAATGAAACCTACAGTTGAAGACGGCAAGGTATCAGACAATAAGAGTTTCAGCAGGCACACTCGCATACATCGCATTAAAAAGTATTTGCATAAGTACAACAGAATTCGCTAAGCATAGATTAAGCTATTTTTATGGTTTCTTCGGCTCTAAGCAATATGTGTCCTTGGACAGCTACACCACACAGAAAAAGATTCCACTCTGTAAACACTAATGAATCTGCTAAATTTGCAGGTCTGGTGGGTTGTGAGCCCTTGGCACGGTCTCTGGTACCTCTCAAAATAAGATCCATTTCTCAGAGCACAGGTGACTCTCCTGGTATGTAGCCCCATCTATCCCCGCAGCCCCTAGCTTGTGACTTTGCTATTCAGACAGATACTTCCTCCCCTGTGCTATCCCTGTGCCTGGAGAGCCCCCTGCTTGCACCCATTCCCCTACTCACTTGAGTGGGTACATGCGCATGGCCAAGGCCATGCCAGGTGTGTAGGACAGAAAAGCAGCCAGCAGTGTCTCCTCCAGCAGCCCAATTAATAGGACCTTGTTTCTGTGAAGAAACATTTATGGGGATGACAGAGTTAGAGAGGAAAAGGCACAGGACAAGGGCACAGCCCCATATACAGGCTTGGGGGTGTGTTGGGGCCGTTTGGTGGGACTCTCACTTTAGCATGCCCTGCTGGAAGACCGAGTTGCGGCGGGTCTTGCAGATGATGAGGTCAGCCCACTGCACGATCACGATGCTGACAAAGAAGGCCGTTTGGCACGTGAACTCCACCACCTTGCGCTGCTCGTAGGTCTGGGGGGAGGGTGGGCAGACAGGAGACATAGGTGTCAGAAGGTGTTTAGAGGGCTTGGTGCCCATAGCACAGTTGTTATGGCACTGGCCATGTGCACTGAGGCTGGCGGGTTTGAACCTGGCCTGGGCCAACTTAACAACAATGACAACTGCAACAAAAAAATAGCCGGGCACTGTGGAGGGTGCCTGTAGTCCCAGGTACTTGGGAAGCTGAGGCAAGAGAATTGCTTAAGCCCAAAAGTTGGAGGTTGCTGTGAGCTATGACTCTAAAGCACTCTACCCAGGCGACATAGTGAGACTCTGTCTCAAAAAAAGAAAGAAAGAAAGAAAGAAAGAAAGAAAGAGAGAAAGAGAAAGGTGTTTAGAGGCACTATGGGTTCCTCTCTCTTGCAGCCTTCAGGACCCCGGGGCTGAGTTGGGCCCCCTCGCTAGATGCCCACAAGCATTTTCCAGGTTGTCCTATGATCTTTGTGGTTCCTCCCCATGCTAAGTTTAGTGAGTGGCCTGTGGCATGGCTCCATAAATATTTACCAGATTAATAAGAAGGGTGGTATAGGAGAGGGTGTGCTTAGAGAAGAAGGCAGAATCAGAGGACAGAAGGGAAGGTAGGGCCAGAGGGCAACATTAATACAGAGGGAAAGGAAGCCCCAAGGAGTGGTACCAGATAGGAGACATTCATTCATTCCTTCATTCACATTTTATATATAGGAAACTTAGAGTCTAGTGGGGAAGGTGAATATGCTATGTTGGTACAATAGATTATGAAAGACAGACAGCAGAGGCTATAGGAACACTGAAGCAGTGCATTTAAATTAGAGAAAAGGCTTATGTTTTATAAGATAAAACAGCATGTTTTTATATAAGTTGCAGATCAAAGAAATTTGAAAATACATAGGACTGCATCATAACGAAACACTACATGTCAGACTTCGTGGAATGTGGTCAAAGTCGAACTTGGAGAGAAATACAGAGCCTTAAATGATTAGAAAACAAAGGCTGAGAATTAATGAGCCAAGTGTGCTCATTAATTTCTTGAAGATTTTAGTTTCTGAATCACTGTTCCTCTATTCTTGCTCTGACCTTGTTTTATAGATTTAAAGATCCTTGTCCATGATGTTTCCAATACCCTGGTCTCACAGTTCTTGATCTCTTTCCTCCAGTGATATTATCTGTCTTTTACTTTCTACTGGGCCACTTGCTGCCTCCGTTACCCTCCAGATATTACCCTTTCCAAATATGTGCGTTTGCCTTGCAATTTTGATTTGAAGCCTCTCTCCTCTCTGTTTTTCCTCTCTCTCTCCCCACCATCTTTATCCTTCCATCTTACTCTAGTATCTCAATTCTGACCCTTTTGGGATTCCCTTGGACTTATGATCTTTTGATGAGATATATCCTGTATTTGGTTATCTGTCTTCCTTTCTATGCCCACTCCCATCCCTAACTAGAAATACACTCCAGGAGAGCAGTAACTTGGTCAGTTTTGTTCACTGTCATTTCCCCAGGTCTTGGAACAGTACCTGGGACATATAAGACGCTCTGTGAGTATTTGCTGAATGAATGAATGAATGAATGGGGGTCAGTGGAATTAATGGTGGAATGGAATCGATGGAATCAAGGGAATAATGGTGCAATGTAGAAGGTGAGGGGCTGTCCTCACTTCTCGCAGTGTGCAGTGTCCTTCCTGGGTGGGGGGTTTTGTATAGATTACCCGCAAGTTACAATAGTGGAAGAGACGTGGATCCTGCCTTTATGGAGTTTATTCCTCAAGGCAACTGTTCTCAACATGTTTTTGTAATACCTCAAGATGTCTTAATTGTGCAAGGGGAATTCTTGTTACCTCAAATTATTTTTAATTACCTGTAATTTATTATAAGTAAGCATGTGTCATGCTGCATATTAGCAGCAGGGAGGAGGCATCAGCCTGTAAAACTAACAAGGGCTTGGGTTGAGAGTTGAGGAGATGCTGGCAGGTGCAAGGTGATGAGAACCTTGGGTGTCATTGGATCCTGGAGCAGCGTTGGTAGCTGAGAACACTGACATCTGATGGCCTCACGAGGCACAGTTAACAGAAGCCAAGTGTATATGAAGGGGCATCTTTCCAACAACTCAGATTTGAACATATTTTTGATAAACCTGTAATCAACTTGGTTTGCAGACATCATAGTGAAGTGGGCAGGGATCAAGAGTCAGAATTCTGGTCCAGCTCTTCTAGGGATTCACTGTGGGACTCTGAGCACTCACTTTCCTCATATATAGAATGATGAGAATGGACTGTATGTCTTCTAGGGGTCGATAATTCTAGTAACAGTTGGTGCCATGTCTCCCACTCTTAGAAATAGGGCATCAGTGTTCAGAGATACAAAAAGCATACCCACTAAAATTATCAAAACTCATACTGTTGGGGAGAGGGCTTCAGTTTGAGCCAGCCAGCCTGCCTGCCTGCCTGCCTGCCTCCCTCCCTTCCTCCCTCCCTCCCTCCCTTCCTTCCTTCCTTTCATCTCACTATGCCACCCTTGGTAGAGTACCGTGGAGTTACAGCTCATAGCAAGTTTAAACTCCTGAGCTTAAGCGATTGTCTTGCCTCAGCCTTCAAGTAGCTGGGACTATAGGTGCCCGCCACAACGCCTGGCTGTTTTTAGAGATGAGGTCTCGCTTTGGCTCAGGCTGGTCTCCAACCTGTGTGCTCAGGCAATCCACCCACCTCGGCCTCCCATAGTGCTAGGATTACAGGTGTGAGCCACCATGCCCAGCCCCCTCATTTCCTTAGATATTAGAAAAGACTACTACTGCTGCATGTGGTGTCTCATATCTGTAATCCCAGGACTCTGGGAGGCTGAGGTGGGTGAATTGCTTGAGCTCAGGAGTTAGAGACCAGTGTGAGCAAGAGCAAGACCCTGTCTCTACTAAAAATAGAAAAAACTATTCCAGGCATTGTGGCTGGGACTACAGGCAGCTGCCATAATGCCTGGCTATTTTTTTTTAATTAAATCATAACTGTGTACATTATTGCAATCATGGGGTACAATATGCTGGTTTTATATACAATTTGAACTGTTTTCATCAAACTGGTTAACATAGCCTTCACGGCATTTTCTTAGTTATTGCATTAAGACATTTATATTCTACACCTAGTAAATTTCACATGTACCCTTGTAAGATCCACCATAGGTGTGGTCCCTCCACCCATCCTCCCCTCCCCTCCACTCCCCTCCCATGCCTGGCTATTTTTAGAGATGGGGTCTTATTCTTGCTCAGGCTGAGAGAGTCTATCTTAAGAAAAAGCTATGACAGACAGACATCTACGTTTCAAAAATTTGAAATGTTGTGGAAGTGATATACAAAGAAAACAAGTTTTCAGATATTAAATGATATTATTTCAACTCTCACAGAGTGAGGGAGTGTTACAGGAGAAGAGCCAGCATTTGTTTCTCGGGCAATCATGGTTAAATCCCGGAAAAACAGAAATCACAGAAAAGTTGGTATCACAAAGACAAGCTCCAGGACCATGGGAACCAAAGGGTCCAGGAAGGTAAGGATGGACAACAGACAGTAGAAATAAACAGAAATGAGGTTATTGTAAGCAAAGAGATGACTATTGGCTGGTGTGACTGGAGACCAAGTTCGATACTAGAACGCTCATGCAGTGTGGGGGATGAGGGATGGGCTCTGTCTGTCGGTACCTCCCTTTCCCCTTCTTTTTTTCTTTACTTTTTTTTTTTTTGTGGCCAGGGCTGGGTTTGAACCCGCCACCTCCAGCATATGGGGCCAGTGCCCTACTCCTTGAGCCACAGGCGCCACCCTTCCCTCTCCCCTTCTTCACACGTTTGCTAGACCCACTCTTCCATTTCCCTTCCTCACACTTCCTGGTCACTTTCTGCTACCCTATCCCATCTTGCTCACCCACTGCTGCCCATAGCTGTCCTCCAGGTCATTCAAGCTTCGATCTTCCCAGAAGAGGCGGATGCCCAGCAGATCCCTAGGCTTAAAACCATTCTCGGCCAGGATCACAAAGTAGGTGAAGAATCCAGCCACAGCCTGTATCATCCCTGTGAGCAAGACAGTCACAGACAGGGTGGGGAAACCTGGTTAAGAGAAGGGCTCCAGGCTCGGCACCCGTAGCACAGTAGTCATGGCGCTGGCCACATGCACCAAGGCTGGTGGGTTCGAACCCAGCCCGGGCCTGCTAAACAACAATGACAACTGCAATAACAATAACAAAAAATGTAGCCAGGCGTTGTGGCAGACACTTGTAGTCCCAGCTATTTGGTAGGCTGAGGTAAGAAAATCACTTAAGCTCAAGGGTTTGAGGTTGCTGTGGGCTGTGACACCACGGCACTCTACTGAGGGCAACATAGTGAGACTCTGTCTCAAAAATAAATAAATAAATAAATAAATAAAGAGAAGGGCTCCCAAAAGCAGACCATGGAAGGGGTGAGGGCTGGGGTTGTGGGGTGTTTGAGGTATACAGCTGAAGAGTCTTGCCACCAGCTATCTGACCTGTCTTCTCTGTGGGACTTGTTTCCAGGTCCTGAAATTTGTTTCTAAACTCTAACCTAGAGTCATTTTTGAATTGCATCATCTTAAAATGAAAAAGGACTTTAGGGGCGATTTATTCCCTATCCTTATTGAGTGAGTGTTGGACTCTGCGTTCTGCATTTCCTTTGACATTCAGACATTCACCAGGTCTTCACCGCTCCCATTTCTCTAATCTGCATCTTGCTTCTCCCCAGTCCACACCTCTGTCCTCACCATGGCTGGACCATAGCAATAGCTGACATTAACATTTGCCTATGAACTGCGGCTCCTCCTGACAATTCTATAGATAGTAATTCTGACATTATTATCTATATTTCCCAAATAGGACAGCTGGACACAAAAAAGCCTCCATTATTGTCCAGGGCCACAGCTAAGATTCATTGAGTCTTACTCCCAAATCCCTGCTTTTTTGTTTTCAAATGCTGCCTGTGTAGAGACTACGGGCTCCACCTGTAGCCACTGCCTGCTCAATTTCCCGCTCCTCGGGTCTCCCACACCTGGCTGTATATTTACTAGTCTAAGCCCTATCTATCCTCCAGCACCAAGTTTAAGTCCTATTTCCCACGTAAAGTCTTTCTAACTGCTCATAATTGGTGACCCTGCTTGCTCTGTACCCTGCATCATGTTCTGTCTGTACTCATTATTTGGCACGTGGAGTTACTCTCATTTTGTTTACATTTGTTCCTTTTCTGCTGGACTCTAGGTCAAAGGCAGATCAGAGATCAGCAGTGTTTCCAGCACTCAGCAGTTTGTTGCTGAGAAGATCTCTCCCTGTCCTCCAAACTGAGATGGCACAAGTGGCCACTTCCTCCTCCCTCCACCCCTCATCCCTCTGGCCGCACCGATCTGTCCATAGGCCATGCCAATGAGACGCTGGTTGACCAGCTTATCCTTCTTTGGGTTCCGTGGGAGCCTCTTCATGATGTCGCTCTCAGCCGGCTCATAAGCCAAGGAGATGGCAGGGAGCTGGAGGAGGAAGGAATCACAAAGTTGAGAAGGAAACGTAGCGGTAACTCCAGCTCTGCCCCTCTCCCTTGGCACAGGTTTCCCCTACTCCTTAATCCATCTCCCAAGAGACCAGGTCCCAGCTTGGTCCTCACCATGTCGGTGCCCAGGTCGATGCAGAGGATAGTTATGGTGCCCAGAGGCAAGGGCACACTGAGGACGATGAATATCAGGAAGGGGCTGACCTCAGGGATGTTGCTGGTCAGGGTGTAGGCGATGGATTTCTTCAGGTTGTCAAAGATGAGGCGGCCTGGGGTAGGGGATGGTCAACTGTCCGTGAGAAGCACTAAGAGCACATACCTCCCTCAAACCAACTCCTAGACAGAGAGGCCACTATGGAGAAGTGTCACAATCCAGGGAAAGGGTCTGGATGTCCTAAAACCTTGGTGGTCCCAGTTTGGGCTCTAAGTTGTGTGACTTTTAATTAGAGCCCGGATTTATTAGCATGCTATGGTTGTGTACTACGTTCGACATGGCTAATGTTATCTGACCTCTGAAAATTAAGCACAGTTGGGTCTAATTTAATCCTGAGATGTCTGAAAATGTCAGTACAAAAGCCTTGACAAGATTAAGGCTGAACTGGAAAGAGCCTGGACTTGAGAGGCTTGGGTTCAAATCTCATCTTCTGCCATAACTAGTTGTGACCTTGGACACCCTTCACCTCCGGAGCTTCACTCCTGCTGTGCGAGATTGCTGAGTCCTTCCCTGATCACCTTTTCAAAGATTGTAACCTCTCCGCACTCCCTGTTTTATCTTTTTCCATCGCACTTATCTTCTTTTAACATATATAACATTTGCTTATTTTATGGTGCTTCTCTGCTAGTAATTAAGTTACGAGAGGGCAGGGGCTTTTACCTCCCTAACTCCTGTATCCTCAGCATCTAGTCTAGTGCCTTGTAATAGTCAGTGCAAAAGATAATTTATCAAACTGAACGGACATAAAATACCAAGCAAAGTGTTAGAATCATATTAGGTTTCAATAAAATGGTAACCATTATTAAAATGTGGTTTGTCGTGTTTTAGTAAGATAGATCCAGGCAGAAAGCAGGGAGCCTGGGATGCAGAATTCTGGGGCTCTCCTGTTACGCATTGGGCATTCTTTTTAGAATTCTCTGAGAAAGAGGGTGCTGAATTGGACTCATGCAGTCAGTTCATAGATCAGGCTCCAATTGGCCCTTCTATATCACCATAATACAGGCACCAGGTTTGGAGGGCCCTTCTAAGGATTGTGGAACATGGAGCAGTCCTGGGTAGGCTACATCTTGGAGCCTGCGGGAGACCTACTTGGACCCTGTGAAAGGCCAAAGAAGATACTGTGTCATACCAGAGTCCCAGTCTCCCTGGTACATCTGGACTTTCCTCTGATCTCATAAAAAAAGGTTGCAAATGGTCATGTTCTATGTACCAGCAGAATCTAATTTATAAGATTTTATGTTACAGTGATTTTTTTCCCAGTTTGAACAGTAGCGGTTCTCAACCTGTGGGTCATGACCCCTTTGTAGCAATGAAAATACATTGCAGCATTAGGAAGGTTGAGAACCACTGCTGTATAGGATCATGGAGGTTAGATGATGGGCAAATGGGATAGGGGTAATGTATACCAACTCCCACCTGAGTCCCAGGTCCAAGTCCCACCTCTGGGCACCCTGCTTCCTCACCCTCCTCCACCCCCGTGACGATGGAGGCAAAGTTGTCATCCAGCAGGATCATGTCGGCTGCCTGCTTAGACACGTCAGAGCCAGTGATGCCCATGGCAACACCAATGTCAGCCTTTTTCAGCGCAGGGGAGTCATTCACCCCATCCCCTGTCACAGCCACGATGGCTCCCTGGGGAAGTCCAAACAGAGGAGTGAAAAAATTACAGTGTCAGCTTCAGAACCGGTCTCAAAAGTCTCTTTGATCTTGGCACCCCTAATTTCTTTTTGTTTCTTTTTTTTTTT